GGATGTATCATCTGTACAGATACTTTTTGCTAAACCAGGACCAACATTCACAAAGAACCTATTAAACTTATCTACTACATCCTCCAATCTATTGACCGGTGTATCATTATCCATAAAATATTGAGGGTAGTTACTCTTTCTAGAACTGTTTCTAATCAATTTATTTAATATATTCCAAGTACCTTTCATGTTTCTTTTATTATCTTACTAATACTTTAGAGTAATATTGTTTCTTACATCTCCTCAAAATCTCAGTTAATTTGTTCTTATATGACTTATATTTTTCTTCCGCCTTCTTTGATCTGTCCTTTATGAATTCCTTATATAACGCATTCTTCTTTTTACATGCATTCTGTAATCCCTTACTCATCCACGGTTTCCCACTGTAATTCCTCTTGTTTTTATACTGCTTATGAGGACAGTTCCTGTCATATACTTTCTTAAATATATTTAAAAATTGCTCATATGCTTTATCTAAGTCTTCCTCTCTGTAAACTGATTCCCAGTTTTGCCCCATAAAATCCTCTTTTAGCCTCCTTACAGCATGTTCATTTGTCACCCTCCTATAGAAAAGATTTGTTTTTGGCCTTTCATTTCTAACATGGCAGTCATAAACCAAAAATACAGGTAGATGATCACTGATATCATTTATAAGTAATCCACTAGACATTTTGCTGTCAATAACATTGGTAAATATATTATCTATTAGTGTTGCATGCTGGGTTGTTAATCTACTTGGTTTTGTAATTTTTGGGTATAAACTACATCTATATATTGTGTTAATAAACTCCTCAGTTCCTGTGTGCTTGTTAGGATTCAACAAATCTATATTGAAGTCACCACATATGAACATTAATTTATGACTTAATGTCAAGTAATTTTCTTCCATCCAGTCATTAAATTTTTCTATGCTGGCTCCAGGTGCTCTATAAATACAACTTATTACAACATTTTTCTTTTTTTTTTCAAAAGTAATTCAACAGTCACACATTCCAGTAAATTATCTGCTACCCTAGACATTTTGTCTACATTCTTATAACAAAAGTTTTTATCTATGTACAAGGCCACACCACCTCCCATCTTATTCTCTCTGTTTATGCATACCAAGTCATAGCCCATAGTTACAAAGTAGATCTGGTTGAACCTGCTGGTTTGTTGAGATTAATATTTGATCTAAACATCAGGACCTTGGACATGATCGACCTTTAGAGAACAGTCAACAAATATGCTCCCCCTGCTCATTACCTCGGGGGATTTTAACAGACTAAACCTTATGAGCTGTCCAAATACAAACAGCATGTCAGCTGTCCCACCAGGGACAAAAAACACGTTGGGCCCAGCAGCCCTCCATCCCTTAAGATCTGTGAAAAGCATGTGTTTGGCCTTTTTAAGAAACAAAGGATCAGAAAGGCACCAGGCCCAGACGGTGTGACCCCCTCCTGCCTGAAACCCTGTGCTGACCAGCTCTTTTACAAGCTTTTGCATCTCTGTCTCTCGTTGAGGTAAATATTTGATTTCAGCTCCAAATCTCTGGACTCACTGGGACTTTAGAGAAGAGTCAACAGACGCCTCACTATCCAGAGACCTGGTTGGTTATTGGTGTCCTCCTGCTCATAAATGAGGGACCTGAACTTGATCCTCATGCTTCATGAACTGCCTGCTGTTCTGTCTGTTGGTCTCAGGACATTTGCACTTTGTTGGAGCCTCACAGATCAAAAATAAAATCATGGGCTCTGACTGGTCACAGGAAGATTATGACCGTGTCTCTCTTGTGGCGTATGAAGATTCATTACAGCAGCCGGGCCTCTTCCCAGATGTGGGCATCGATGAGTCTCTGCTGAAATATTCTGGCCTGAACTCCGCCGCTGCTCTTCAGTCCTACTTTGATGAACTGATCGACAACGTGCCAGGCTACTTTGAGAAGCTGGTATCTGTTTTTGGCGAATTGACTTCAGTCCCACATGCTGTTGGACTTGGTGCATTGGTGATTTCCACGATCTTGGACATCTGTATCAAGAGCACCAGACAAAGCAGTGTTGATTCATACAGCATGCTGCGACGTGTGTTTGGTGAAGAGAAAGCCTCAGCTGTCAGGGACACAATGTCAGAGTATCTGAAGCGCCATCGCATCTACATCAACAATGAGCAGCGTCTGCTAAAGGACCTACGGACTCTGGAGCTGCAGCTGAGCGGCCATCTCACCACCCTCAGAAACTCCCTGCTGTATGACGGACAGATGAGCTCTCGTGGGTTCAAAATCTGGGTCAACGGAGCCTCCTTCCACGTCCAGATGTTGATCCATGAGGCACGGCTCAAAACTCAGGCTGGTGAGAGGGAATCAGACTATGTTTCAATCAGTAATGCCATCGACGTGTATGTGCAGGATCTGGATGAGTTACTGGAGAAATACAAGACTTACAGAACCAGTACTACTAAAACCGGGGGGCGTGCGGGTATTCCGATGTACGGCATAGAAAGGGAATGCCATCTGCAAAATACTGAGACGGGCTGTGAATATAAATTGAGACAGACTGACTTTTGTTGCTATGGCATCGTTGGTTTTTCAGACGAACAACCTAATATGATTAAGGCTTATGTAAATCACGTTTTCTCAAAGTATGAACCAATCGCAAGCTTGAGGAGTCATTTCTCAAACATCAAGAACAACCTCAACTCTCTCATCAACCAACATGACTTGTTCACTCTGCCACCAAGAACCCGACATCGTTTCATCCGGTTTGCTTTAGTTCCTCCAGCTTCTTCACCTTAAATATCACTGATCCATTACAAGTAATGTGCAAAATGATAATGCTAAGGAAAACTAGTGTAAAATAATGAACTTGTTGGTTTTAATTCTGCTTTGTGAAGTGACACAGTGGACTGAGGGGACTGTATCAGGAAGAACTGAGTCTTTGTAAAAGACTGAATGGAAGCTTTGTCACGACTGATAGTGAAGCTGATTTACTTTCATCTTTTGATCTGTGTGTAAATTATGTGTACTTTTTAATTTTCTGTGTTGAAAAATGTCAAACTCCACCAGTGATGTGATTTGTGATCTGGAGCTTGTTGTCTAACGATGTTCGGACACAGACGTTGCTCATTTCCACCTCCACCCGTCGTGTTGCTCATAAGAATCTCTCACAAAAAACGAACATAGCAAAATTCTACAAGTTATAACATAATTAGACGTAAATGCTGTCAAAAAGAAACATGTTACGAACGTTACAGTGAACATGACACTGCATTACATCCTGCAACACCTCGACTCCCCAGGGACCTATGCACTGGCCCTCTTTGTGGACTTCAGCTCAGTATTCAACACCATCATCCTGGACATCCTCCACTCCAAACTGACCCAGCTCACTGTGCCTGCCCCCCCCTGTCAGTGGATCACTAGCTTTCTGATGGGAACTAAGCACTTAAATTATCTTCAGAATGTTTAATTTGTCTAATGAATTCAAAAACTCTCTCAGATACTAAAACACTGTCAGGAATCATGTACAATGTGAAAAGCGTTAATCGCTGCATTAAAGTGATTAGGTTTTGTAATGAGTGTTGATTTACAGGAACAGAAAGGT